GGAGACCGGAGATGAAGCTCAAAAACCGGAGTCTCCGGTCTAAAACCGGAGAGGTGGCAACCCTACCCTCTTCTCTTTTTTGTTTTGTTTTTGTTTTGTAAATTTGAAAAAAAAATTTGAAAAATTTGTAAATGCACCCTCTTCTCTGTGCATAAAGAATCAATTTCTAAATGTTACCGTTCAATTTAGTTACTTTCTGTATATAAAATCATACTACTCTCAAATATAACCTCGTGGTACGGTTAAAGTAAGGCAACGTTGCAGCGAAAAGTGCCGTTATCCGTCACAAATTCGTAGGTCCGCCGAAAAATTGAACTTTTGCAATTTTCAAAAAATAGAATTTTCAACAAACATGAGACCTCTGCCATTCTCTTGAGCGTCCTACCCGCTATCTGAGGCCAAAATTTAATCAAGATTGTTCCCGCCGTTTTTTTAGAAAAAATAACAGTTTAAACAAAATTTTAAAAAATGCTTTCATTTCACGCCAAAAAGATTCAAAATTTCGAAAAATTGTATATGACCTTATTTCAAAATCTAACTTTAAGGAACAGATTTAAGGCAAAAAATGACTAGCTTTAATATTTTAGTTGTAGAAGACGCAGAAAAAATTTTGAACTTCAGGAACTTTCGAAACATCAGAGTTTTCAACTAACATAACACCTGCACAATTCTCTTAAACCTGCTTCACACTATTCAATAAAAAGTTTAATCAAAAACGGAACAGTTTTTTTGAAAATGGTCCAGGGGTTTTATGTAAGTACCCACAAAATTAAAATTTCGTTTTCAAATTCAAAGGGCCGCGACACCAGCCAGATGGATTGGGGAATGTCAATTTTGTAGAAAATCGGCTGAAAGGTTTAGTCGTTAGCGTTGTTCACATACGGACGGACGTTTTGCCCTCAATCGACATTTCGGAATCAAGAACCCACAAAACATGAATTCTGGGTATACCACGTGTTAAGGATTTTTTCTAAATGTAGGAACTGGATTTATCCACTTTTCGTAACCAAGGCCTAGCAAAAAAATTTACGGATGAAAATTCTCCGCAGATTTACATAACTTTCTCTCCTCTGCGTAAGCGGTAACGAGAAAGTAAAAAACTATCACGAGAATTACGTTAAATTACTCTAAAATTGTACTCTTCTAGAGAGCCGATTTCTTGGAACAACAAAAAATCTCTAAATTGTATCAATATTACCACAATATTGTACTTTTGCAATGTTAATTTCTTGCAATTTTCAAAATACAGAGATTTCGCCGAAACCGGCCCCATTTACTTTATTGTTCCACGGTAAAAAAGGAAAATATTTAGAGCTGTTTTTGAGAAAATATTTTTCAAAATAAATTTTTATAAATGTATTAACTTCACACAAATCACATGACGTTTTTAAAGATTTAATTTTTGTAAACAAATTTCATTTGAGACAAAAATCTCGATCTTTAATATTGTACTTTGACAATGTTAATTTTTTGTAATTTTAAAAAATACAGAGAGTTCGCCAAAAAAATGGGGTCGGAACCGCTTTGTAAACCGTCCTTTGATACATACGAAGCAAAAATGTAAAAAACAAACAAACAAAAAAAACTGGTTTGGGGGAAAATAATTGTTTAAAATTGTCTGTGCAGTAGGACCCCGGTAATCCGAACTAATTGGGTGTGGTCTGTTCGGATTATCCGGGGAAATGTATCGTATATATACAAATAAATCTATAGGGTTACCAGGCACAATGCAACGTAGCGTGAGACGTGAGAAAAAGTAGCGTAGAGAGGCAAAGTAACGTAGCGATCGCATCATCACATCATCAGATTCAGTTTCTCTCCGGAAAGTAAGATTACCGATTTGGCAAGTTCCTCTAAGTAAAAACTACTGCTACATAAACATGTCATATACACCGTAGTTACCAGTGCAAAACACTTTTCATTTCAATAATTAGTAATTCAGTTCTACAGTAATTATAAAAGTCTTTCTTTCTTTACACTACAAATAAGCAATTAATTCATTTTGTTTAATATTCCTCCATCCCGAATTTTGTTCGGATTATCCGAAATTTCGGATTTGCGGGGCTTTCGGAAAATTACGCGAAAACTACTCGTATGTTCGAAAAATTCCGTATGCCATTTCATCTGTCTTTGATGATTTCCTTAGACAAAAAAAATCTCTATCTTCAATATTGTAGTGTAGGAAGCTAATGAAATTTTTTTGAAGGATTGCAATTTTCGAAAAATCAGGTATTTTAACGAAATGAGACATATACCCTTCTTTTAAAGAGTTTTTTTATGCTACCCGAGGGCAAAGTTTAATAAAAAAAAAAATAGATTGGTGAATATCAATTTTTCTCACTATGTGTTAGGTAGTTAGTTCAGCAAAGAAGTTAATATGATTTTAATTTTTTTATAATTATAATATGTTCACCACTCCAGATAATGGGACTGAAAATGTATTGATTGATGAGAGTTATGACAGTGATGATGATGCTTTACTATTTAGTGATCCTGAATATAATTTCGGTGATGAAAGTACAATATAGAACAAGAATCCTGAAAATTTGTGGTTGATGTGGTCCAATACAAAAACATGCTTTACCGAATTTTCATGCAATTTAAATTCAGGTTACAAAAGATGAGTCATTCAAAAAATGCCATTTGAGCTGTAGAAAACAACACATCCTCCTACCTTGGAGCTGCTGATGTCATCTCTGTGATGAAATTTAAGCTAAAGGTCGATTTCAATACATTCCTCAATATTAGATCATTATCTGATTTCATTTATACTTTTACAAAATATTAGCAGCTTTCACAAGTTTTGGAGAGAATTGTCTGAGGTTACAAAATCAATAGAACATTGAAAATACATTCCAAGAATTATCTGGATGTGGTGATAATTAGCTCAATGGCTGGCACGATGAATTGAAGGTCTTGGATTTGAATTTTTGCCTGTGCGATTGCACTTTCTTTCTTTTTTTTTCCAATAATCTTGTAAGATTGTAGCACAATATATAAAATTCAACTGTAAAATGCAATTTTCAAAAAAACTCTTTTGAAAGAAAAAGAATGTATGATTTTTTACCTTCAAGTTTCTTGGACATCATCATGTCCAGTTTTTCAAGAAAAGGGTGAAATATTAATTGAACAGAGGTTGCAATATTACTGAACTACTGTTACAGTTAATATGAAAAATTGTGTTTCTTCCCCACTAGTTTGCAACTCTCTTCTACTTCACAGTTAATTTTTATTGTTTTATGGAATGAAAAAAATATTCTTGAGTATACTCAATTTGTTATTTAATTTTTTGTCAGCCAATCTAATGTCTGTTCCGGAAGAAAATTTCCTAATCTTTTCTCTGTTTAATCGTATAGAATCTGACATCTGTTAATCCATTAATGTTCAGAAGGTTTTTTGATTCAAAATAGGTTTTTTCAACTGCAATGTACAGTTAGTTCAAAATCAACCCTTGATTGTGAATTTTTCGTTATTTACTTCTAGATTTCTAGATAATGAAGGGTCAATTTTTTGGCCACCAAGCGCTTACGTGTAAAATTCAATTACCACTTACATTTTTTTTACAACGATTCCCTTCTTTTGCAGTTGATTATACTGGTAGTTCAGACAATAATTTACACTTTTTTTTCTTCAGTTTTTTATTATTTACTCAGAAATTTTATATTAATTATATGATTGCAGAAAATTAAAAATTGTGATTTTACAAACTCTCTTTGAATGTTTACTCTGCAAGTAAGATTTTAGGAATGGAATGTTTCAAAACACTTAGGATGGAGATCTATCATATCTTTCTTGCAAAATAGCTATAAAAAGCACGTTTTGCCCCGACAAACCGGGCACATTTTAAAAACCTGGTCTCCTTTATCCTTCATTTTCCCAAATGTCATTAACCATTGCAATAAAAAAATATTGTCCACAGTGGCCTTTAAGTTACATTTAAATAAATATATACATACAATGAGTAATAATACTTACATCCATAAATGTGTCAAGGAATTGTAGGCATGAATCCAGAAACATGGGGAGTTGAAGATCCGATATACCAATCTCCTGAACACACAATCTTTCTTTTGGAACTTTGCCAGCCTTATGCAAAAGATTTGCAGCAGCTTCAAATCGATGTTTTAAATGTGTTGACCACACCAAGCTACATAAACCTGAAAAAATTAGAGAGAAAATCTTTTTTTTACCTGTTTGATTACATCATGGGTAATCTAACATTTCTGGTGAATAAAACAAAAATACATGAATTAGTGGCATCCAAAAGAAAATCAATCAAATAAAATTTATTATTTCACTAAAATATTCTTATTAATTTCACAAATGCATGAGAGATCAAAGCACTATGTTAGTAAAAATGTTGGTTATATCATTTGGTGGCAATGATGGGCATAGTCAATCATTCTGTAGTCAACTAGTATGAGGGAGTAAGTGAAATGATACGTTTATAGAATTAATTTGCATTAACATGAATAGAACTTAATTGCAATGTTTAGTGCAATTAAAGCAGCTGCGTGCGCGCCGCGAACCGAGAATTCCACAGCCAGCGTCCGTCCCCGAAAGGCACCATTCCACCCCTTTGTGTAGCAGTAGGTGATTGACAACCAAAACTGTTACATTAAGAGGCAAGAGCAGCCCATCATAAATGCCCAAGCGACTATAAATCACACGCCCCCAAAGACGACTAGCCCATGGAAAGCTTCGCGACGTGATAGGTCGGGCACTTTTTGAGAGGGGCGGGGACGAGAAATAGCAGGAGGATACTATTTGTGTTATTATAAATAATACTGCAACATTTTTACATTAATTACAACATTAATGTAAGCAACTGCTTTACATTAATTTGAGAAAAAATAGCTATGCTTTATTTGTTTGGATGATCACAAAAGAATATAGGTGTAGCAAGTTTGTTTCATGTTATCTTCTCATATATATTAAATATATATTACACAAAACCTAACAATCTTTGAATAAAAAAACAAAAACAAACACATAAAATACTGAGCTATGTCACACTGCAGCAAGAAAGGGTCAGATGAGAATATTCATGTTACATAGCGTTCATTTCAGCTATTCCTGCATCCACAGTTTATTAACCACCAAATGTCTCATCAGCTGTTACACAGAGCATTTAATGAGAACAAAATAGGATTAGAAGCAGACTGTTTACTAATGTTAGTATTGCACTTTTGTTTCTATTTGGCATGTTGCATTGCATGTGTAGAACACAATAACATTAGAGAAATCAGCGAATGAATTCGGTTTTTTCTTTTCTTCTCCCCATTGTTTTAAATTTTAACCCTAAAAGCCAGAATCCTGTTCCAACAAGGGTCCAAATTTACAGTTAGTTCAGCACTATCCAAACCTGATCTCTTTTATGCTAAAAGTTGATGCAATAGGAATTGTCACCCAAGCTATTAGAGATAGAAGTGTATGGCCAGCCAGTGAGGAAAATGTCCTCTTAGCATAGGGACCTACTGGTTTAACTGATAAACCAGGCAAAGATGTGAATTCACATCCGATAGCTTTTTCCACTTTTTGCTACCATAAATATATTATGATTATTTATGGTGTATTTAATAGTTGTGGAGATTAAGTGCAACCTTGAATAGTATCTATGTTTCAGGGGATTGCTTCAAATGTACCTCTATTTGCATTGACTCTAGACAATTTTTTTACATTAACCCTTTAAATTAGAAGCTTAAATTCCTCTTCTTTAAATTCTTCCATAAATTCTCATTTATCTTGCCATTTGCTATTTCATAATTCACAAAGTATGATCAAAAAGTAGTAGGACTGATTTTATTAAAAATAATTTATGGCACATATCTGTACAACTCTTTAACAATCTTCAAAGTAGGACTCTTGTGCTTCGACAAACTGAGAATAACACGTCTGCCAATCTGCGAATGCCTTATGGAAGTCACTGGATGTAATTCTTTTGAGGGTCCTTGTTACAGCTGCTTGGAGGTCTTTGATGTTGTCGAAACATTGTCTTTTCATCAGCTGTTTCAGGATAAGAGGGAGAAGTCAGGTGGAGCCACATCTGGGCTGTAGGAGGGAGGGTGGGGTGAGGCAACATGACAACACCATACTGAGCCAGCCGCTTCCGTGCCAACAGCGTGATGTGGCATGGAAGAGTTTTCAGAAATGGGCGATGTCTGATCACACACGGTTGACTTGTTTTCACAACCAATTGAGCACTACTGCGTAACACTGCATTCACGGATTGCCCAACTCCTTGTGGATGACATCATGGTGAAACAAACACTTGAAGTGATCAGAGTCCAGAAGATGTTTCACTTTTGTCACAAATTCATTCAACCTTCGATGTTAACGGGTGACCCACGCGTTGGTCATCCTCGATGAGCTACCTTCCCCTCCCTGAACAACTTGTGTCATAAAAACCCTCAAGTGGCTTTTGGCAACATCCCTGAAGGCTTGCTTGATCATATCACAGGTTTCCGTGATGTTTTTTCCAAGTTTGAAGCAAAACTTCATGTTGTAGCACAGCTCAAGATTCCGTTCCATGCTGAGCGTGACGACACTTCTTAACAGTGGGCTCATTCTCCAAAGGCATGCAGGCTACTGTGGAGGATCGCGTTCTGTTCATGAGAGACCCCGCCACCATGCCCAACGAGTCTGACTCCCCTCCGTGAGTTTGTCTGGACGACAGAAAATCAGTTTTCTACCACTGTTCGCACCTTGAATGAATAATACAAATGCATTCAAATTATGTTGTTTTCAAATTTTAAACATCATCAGGAGAACAGTTGTCTCCCCTCCCTTGAAGCTCCTCTTCCCACTATATTATTTCACTACAATCTTGAATTTGAAATAAACATTTCACTCTCATTTTATAACTATTAGTTATTTTTGTTTGCCATTCCAACAATTTTTAGCTTCACCTGAATTTCACTAATTCCCTTCAGCAATTTTTTCTCCAAGACACTTTTTCTGTACTAGTGCACTGTATACTTTGCTTGGTGCAGGTCTATATATAAACTAAAAATTGCCAGGTTGAACTTGAAAATAATTATTAGACAGATATAGAGAAACATGTAACAGATAAAACTTAACACAATAGCAACACAAAATATCAACAGAAATGTTATTTGTAATAATAAAATTGCAAAGATAAACAGAAATAAAATAGCTGCAAGTAACTTGTTTACCGTTATCTTGAAATTTTAATTTTATTTCAGCTTGAGATATTTTTTTCTATTTTGTTTCTTTCCTCATTTATTGAGTAACAGATAAGTATTTTGAAATTATCGATAAAAGATAAAACTGTATTAGAATTGATTTGAATCGATGCATTATTTTATGTGGCGAGAATGGGTCCATTGAGCCTGCTCTTCCGTCTGACCCTGCAAATTTTGCAACACTCCTTTCACCCACTAGTGGAGAAAGGAGTTATCACTCAGGTGATGAAACAGGCGATTTGAATTTAGCTGAGAGTCTTCATTTAAGCTTGAGGATCTTTTACATGCAGTAAATCTACTAACATGGGACACTTGGCTTTACTTTCCCTCTGAAGGAAGGCAAATGGATTTTTTCGCCTACGACCTTGATCGGGTTTAAACCCGCTAACGAAGGTATAACAGTCCAGTATATATTTTTATTTTTCAAAACACAAACAAATCAATTAAAACTGAATATTGTTAATTACAATTAATGTTGTAATAAAATGATACGACTGGTTGTGCTCGAAATACATCACTTCAGTACATGGTTGTACTCATTCATTTATAAAATTAAGAACATTTGTAAAATTAAATTTGAAAGAAAAAACACGTTGGAATTTTAAAAGAGATTGATGTATGAAGGCCTTTTCACACTTCCGTTAGAGATCAATGTAAAATTTTTTAGCCAAGCTGACGAGGAATATAATATACTGAATCATTGTCAATATAGAATTAAGTTTTTAGGAGACACAGGATGTTGCAATCTGTCTGCTTTAAGACACATTAAACATTAACGTAATCTGCCTTTTTAATATCAGTCAATGAGCCAATGTAATAAAAAGATTAACGCCAAGTATATTATTTTATGACTAAGTTTAAGTTGATGTTCTGTTGAAACATGCTTTACAGTGTTTTTAGTTTAATTTTTTTTTTAACAAAAGACAATATAAGAACATAAAAGGATAACCAACTTTGGAATCACAATAATTTAAATACTGCAATAATTTTAAATAATATGTTTAATATCATGTTGTAAGCTGAAAACAAACATATCTCAGTGTAATGTTATAAATGTTTTCAGCTAAAAACACTACTTCTCCATGACCATTTTTAATATTCATCATGGTTTTCATTATCCATGAATATTATTTTATATATCAGTATTTTACACCAACACACACATACATGGCTAACTTACATTTATGTGTATTTACATGTATTTAACTTGGCACTCGCTCAACAACTGTGAGGCACATTAAAATTATATCACACAGATGTACAAATTACTACTAACTGACTGATATAAATTATCTCATTAATTTACCATAACATTATATTTCGGAAATATTATTTTTTTAAAGAAAATTCACAAGTAAATAATCAACAATAATTCACTAGAGGTGAGACAAATCCAAAACTACCTGAAATTCAAAAACAAAATTCTGGAAGGTACTGCAATCCCTCATATATAATAAAATCAATGTTAATAATAATAATAATAATAATAATAATAATAACGATAATAATAATAATAATAATGATAATAATAATGATAATGATAATGATAATAATAATAATAATAATAATAATAATAATAATAATAATAATAATAACAAAAATAAAAAATTTAGACAGCACTGTAAGAAGGAAACTTACAAGAAGACTGGATAAACTGAAGGATCCACTGAAATCTGATAAAGGTTTCACTGCAATTAAATCATTTTGACCTAAAGCAGCAAAATCTACTTAACTATTGAACAGCATTTTACAAATTTGACACAGAAAAGGAGTAACATTTTATCATAACATAGCTTTCTGAAGATGGTGCAACATCAAAGATAGGTATTTGCATACTCATAGGAAATTTATGTTGTTTCCAAGACTATTAGATTGAAGGATTCTATTTTTATTAATGTAATTATTTTGGAAATGCTTTTCATTGACATTTGTACATTTTTTGGTAATCAAATGAAAATTTAAGGAAACTCCAAATCTTCCTCGATTGAATACTCCAATTTGATCAAGCATTTCCACCCTGATAACATAGAAAGAAAGAAAAGGGGCGGAGGGGATACAGAAAAATCTGTCTAAACCAGAACCTGTAAAGGCCGGAAACCTGTCTTAACCGGAAAATTTTTTGGCCCTGCGAAGTTAAACGGCATAAAACAGAATCTCTCCAATGAGGAAACGGAACAATTTACGTCCTGCACAGATGGGGAAACTTTTACAAAATAGAATATCTGTGCATTTAATGCAGTTGGCAGGGAGATGCACAATACTCTAATGGAATAAATCCATCTGCAATATTATTTTAATTTATCTGTCCATGTGATATGCGTTTTAGTCATGTTAGCCGCACAATGAAGGAAAAGGGCTTCGGGTAGCGTGGAATTCGACCTTGGGGTCGCTTCTCTCAAGGCATAGGCCGTAGAGGAATTCTCTTTCTCCCAGCTCTCCAAGTGTGGGAAGATAAATTCGGACATGGCTTGTATTCACTCATCTCCCAGCCCCGCATTGACAATCATAACCTGTTGGCTATACCCGTATTGGTCAAGGCCATGCGAGGGTATCAGAAGGACGTAATACTCTGGGCTGTGACGCATTGTGCACTGAGAGGCAGTGAGCAGTCCGGATGCTGCAACAAGGCAGGGAGGTTGTGGGTTTTTATGAGTTTCACAACCTGTTTAACAATGGTTAGGAAAAACAATTAGTCTAAATATAAACATAAGTGAATAGGTGTTAATAAGTGGGAAAAACAAAAAGCAAAACTCTAGAAAAAAGTTGGAAAATATATTGTTTTGAGTTGTGAAGTTTTTCCTTTTAATTGTCAGAAATATTTTTAATACTCAATTATTGGTGATTGCTTCAACAAATATGTTACACAATAACATATTTTTATAATTATAATAAAGTCATGTAATTTACTACTTTCAAAACAAAAGTATGAATACAATAAGTGGCATAATATGGACAATCCTGCATACAACGGAAACCTTGTCAAACCAGAACACTTTTTGTCCCAATCAATTCGGGTTTTACTGTAATTAATTTTTCACTCTGAAACATTATTTAACTCCTATTTAACCTTTCTTACAAAACTGTCAACACAATCAACTGCTGAAACTCTGCTGATTGAGTTAAGAGAACAAAGATTTTTCTTGATAAATATGTCTCACATATGAAAACAAATACTCCTTGAAACAACATTGATTCAGCAACTGAATTCTTCTGCATTGGATGATGGAGTATTTTTACACTGAATAATGAACTAAAGAAATTCAGCATTGAACTGAATTGAATTGATGCTTTATTTTACGTGGCGAGTCTTGGGCCAGAGTCATTCAATTCTACTATAAAACTGATACGTTGGATGTGTATGAGTCAACAGCTGATCTGACACAAGAACAACCACGTGTCTGCGTCCTGAGTATATGGCAACAGTGCTCTCCCCCACTCCCAGCTGTCAAGTCATCAGAAATATTAACCAGACAATACATCATAAATGTAATATGGTTTGAAAATTTATATTAATATTTATTTAATTTAGTACCTCAACTTAATTAATTGTTTGGCTACAAATTGTAACTGAGCAAAATCAATGGTAACTACCTGTTCAATGGATAAATATGTCTAATTTCATTCAATTAACCCTTCAACCAGAGAATTTCCTAGCCTAAAAGTCATTTCTGAATGAGGGATTCATTTGGAAAGAGAATGTACTTACTCAATAAGTCCAATAAAATAATGCATAGATGAATCACCTAGCCCTGTTAATGTAATGATAATCTATCACGATCCACTCACTATACCCAAAACAACACAAAGCAAAATGACAAGCACAGGAATCAAGTCACAAAAACAAAGATATTTATCACAACGAATTAATATATGGTAAATATGATGCAACATCTAACAAAGTAAATGACATGAAATAAGAAGACCTTGAGAAACATACTCAAAATAAAAGTAAAATATTGCAAAGAAGTTACCATGCTTCATTTGAGGTGAAGGCACCACTTGTAAACATGCAATTCCTGCTTCCAAAGCCTCAAGTTTGTCAGGGCTTTGATGCCAAGCAAACATGTACTCCCAGCATAAGTTTGCCAGAAGAACACTGGAGGAAAGACTGTATGGAAAGTGATGCTTCAGTAGGGCCAACAAGTCTAATAAACAAAAAAAGAAAAGAATTATACACCAGTCTATGAAGTAAAAGTCTTATCAAAATGCAATATGAAAACTTATTCAACATTTTATTTCATATATATTTTGCAATCTATTTACTAACATATAAAGAGAAATGTTAAGCACAATAAAGAGGAGAAATGAAAGTTTCTAAATGTGAAATCAATAGCACCAAATTTCAAGCAATTGATAAAAAGTTCACGCAATTTTTTAGTCAGTTTAATTAAGGGACATCTGAATATAAGATGAACCCCTGATTTTGAAGAAGCCTCCTGAGATTTTTTTTATTTTTAACTAATTCTTACTACTAAGTCAAAATAAAATTGCATACTGTCTTAGTGACTAGAAAATTGCCTCTTCACATGCATAACATTTCTTTCTTTTTGGTCTTCCTTCCATGCTATGATATTTTCTGACGTTTTAGGACCATCTAAATGTTTTGAACATTGAATTTGTGTTGTTCTAAATATTCACCTGAGAACATTCCCTTTTGCGTAACCAGATTTTCTATCTATCAGGCACTTGCTGATGTCCTCTATTTCTTTAACAGTCCTTCCACATTCTTTAACAGAATAAACTTGAGATTACCGTTTACTGTTCGTGTGATCGAGTTGTGAAATGCGAACTTGTACATCTCTACCCCTTCATTTTGTGAGTAAAATGAACACAGCATTAAGCTTTTATGTTTTGGAAATATTTGCTAAAAAACATTTTTTTTTTATCCTTTTCAGTGGTTGGATGTAGAATGCGTAAAACGTCCATCAATGTGATTTTTTCATTTCCGTTTCCTGTAAAATGCATTCACATTCATTGGGCGTCTAACCGAGCCACAGCCTTGTCGAACACGCATTGTGTAACAAAATACTAGCATTTATTTTGATGCTACGTTTCACTTGATACAATTCCATTCATTGGAGATTCTCTCTTTACTAATTCCCAGCAAAATTATCTGTCTGAATTGCTCTGCAAATTTGGGGTGAATGTAGAGAACACAACTACAAATATAATTACATATTGTAGGTACGCACACTATTTTTACCATCTTCGCAGCTTATTGTTACATCAACATCCACGAGCTGCTTAAACCACACTAATGTGCTACCTCAACATTCGCAACATATAGGCATTTTTAAGTTTAGGATCAAACAAGAAGATACATATTGGCTAAAAAACAATGTAAACAATTTCTAGTTCACATCACCACACTTCTAACCAGTTAATAATCTAATGTACGGTCTTTCAAAATGAAATGACAAATGATGTATCTTTATTTACAGGGATAAGGTTTCTTACGGTGATAAAAGGCAATGCAGTACTTTCATATTAAAGGCAAGTTTTATTTCTCATTATGATATACCTTTGCATTGTTCACATTCAATTTTTTTCTGTTGGATGGTATGCTTTATTCTCAACAAAATTTCTCGAAAACAAACCAGAAATCAAACTCAGGTTTTCCATTTGTCTATTCATGCTGTAGCGATTGAACAATTTTAACATTTAGACATCCATTTAGTTTATGTCAACCTAAGGTTAACCAATTAGCAGTGTAATAAACTCTCCAACAATATGAAATTATACAACAATGGACGTCTACTAATTTTTTACTTCACAGTTATGGGCTTCATGCCGAAATTCAAATGAATTTGGAGCTCTGAAAATAAAACTATGGATTGTTTGAGACTTGCATTGGAGTGGAAGACCAATTTTGCAATGTTGAGTCCCACTGGACATAGGAGCGCAAAGGGTAAAGCCTATTTATCACTGGTATTTAATTGTTTTGAAACTTCCTTCTAAAAATTGAAGACTTTACCTAAAGTATGTGTGTGATGTTCATTCATTAAACCAGCTTCTGCTCCTTCTTCAACATCTAATTTTTCTCCTTCAGTGATTCCAACAGACACCAGTCGCTGCCTATGAGAAGGCGAATTGTCATGTTCACCCTCTTGCTGCTCCATATTATCAAACTCAATGTCAGAAAGATCTATAAGACGACGAGGGTCTAAACCAGCACAGCTCAACCAACGTGCCACTAACTCTGACACTGAACCTATAGAAGAAAAGACTTCATAAGAATACATAAATTACTTCAGAAATTATGAGTAATTCCAATTTGATTCAATAGAGGCCCTCAACATTTTAACATAATTATTTAATAAAATATTGGTTCAATAAGTTTTGACTGTTACCTACAGATTCTCACTATCTTCAGTAAATTCTTATTTAAATCCCTTCATGAAGGGTCTAATACTTTTGTTGTGTTTTATAAAAAATGTTGGAATTGTAATATTTGTATGTTTCTCATTCATATTCTCTTAAATTTCCTTTTATTAAGTTTTTATTAATTACTTTCCTTATTTTATTAGGGAGTTCAATAGATGAAACATCAGTCAATCAAAAATTACAAGTTTAGAAACACAAGAAACCAAACTACAGAATTTTAAAATAACCATTAACTTCAAGTCAAAATTATTTTCACAAATTAGCTTTGCAGTTTTAATTTCTATTTAAGTGGTTTAATATATTTTTATTAATAAAAATATTTTTAGATTCAATTTCACTAGTAATTTTTTTCTTTTTCAAATGTCCCAAACCTTACTCTAAATTTACACAAGCTGCAACTCCAACTCACAAGAGATCCAGATTTACAGAAGTTGTAGTATCACTTTTAGAATTCATATGAACATTTTTCGAAGTTAACTTCACTATATAATTGATTAACTCAAAATGCTTCAATAATAAATAATAATAATAATAAATACAGTTATCAACAATCCTTTAAATGAATTACAAAGAGGATTTAAAAGTCCACTTTCATTTGCTTGTAGAATACAGAATTAACTTTGAATATTTTATTTTGAAATACGTGCCTTTTCCATTCTTCAGAATATCACTTAGAGAGATAGAGAGGCGTTTGTAAGGAAGGTGGCACATATGAGGTCTTCCTGTGGTTGCTAGAACCACTGGGGGCTCCTCACCTCCAGGCCATGGCTTTTGTCTGAAAATAGATAAGATTTGCCATCAACTTCAGCAGTAAAGGAACAATACTTCATGAGGCGCATATATTAATAATATAAAAAATAATACAGTGAAACCTGACTTAAGCAGTCACCACTGGTTCTAGCAAAAATTGGCTGTTAATAGAGGTGGCTGCTTAATGAAGATTTTGAGGTTACTGGAAGTGTAAATCAAATCTGATTATGCTTATTGCTATGAAATGAAGTATGTTCTCTTAACATTTTCAATTACAATAAAAGACAAAATGTGATTAAACTGATTAAATATTAGGTTTCTTGGTATTCTCACACCTAATATCAAAATGAACCCTTGACTTGTCTGTCACTCATTCCCATAGTCAACAAACCAATTTCCATCCTTGCCAAATCAAACAAGCAAACTAAACTTGAAGATGAAATTCATAAACATCCACAAAAAATTTTACATTAGGGCAGTCTGATGGAGAAGTTAGCAAATGACCTTCAGATTGAATTTGCACTCACAGCTTGTTCCACAAATCTTTTGCAGACTCCAACAGAAGAAAAGTATGAGTTTTGAAACCATAGGAATAATGTGAAATGGGAGCAAGAAACATGTGCATGTTGTAACAATTCCCAATCATATTCGTGGAACTTTTCTGTTACGACTTTGGCTGTGTGTGGGCGAGCGTTGTGGAGAATGAGTAGCCCAGTCTTGAGCAACTGAGGTTGAGTTTTGTGCATTTTTGAATTGAATTTGCCTTATTTTACGTGGCGAGACTCGGGCCATCAGGCCCGCTCTTCCGTCTGACCACGCAAATTTCGCTACGCTCCTTTCACCAACTAGGAGAGAAAGGAGGTATTTCTTGGGCGAGAAACAGGCTATTTGAATTTAGCTCAGAGGCGTCATTTAGGCTTGAGGATCTTTTACATGCAAGTAAATCTACGAACATGGGACAGCCGGCTTTACTTCCCCTCCGAAGGAAGGCGTACGAAGGATTTTTTCGCCCTTAAAAATCCACGTCTTCGATCGGGTTTGAACCCGCCAACTTGGGTACAACAGTCCAGAACGCTAACCGTTACACCATGGCCGCCGTCATTCGCCATTTTTCGCCGCCATCGCCGCCATTTTTCGGTTGTTTCTGAATAAATTCACAATACAGTCCTGAGACACTTCGTCCACATGGAAGCCCGTCTGTAATAATAATTCCATAACGATCGTACGCAAAGATAATTTTTTTCACCTTCGATTGAGCGTGACGGAATTATTTTTGGATGTCAGAGAGACGGACATTTCCATTCGTTGGACTGTGATTTTAATTCGAAGTCTCTAATCAACGTTTCATCAATGATTTGATGTAACGGCGATGATTTGATGCAAGAAAGGTTGACCTTCAACATCAAATCTTTGTTTCAACAAGGTCGCAATCACAAGACAGTATGTCTTTTTGTTCAGCACTCAAGTAGTAAGTGAACCATTGTGCTACAATTTTCCTCTTCTTCTTCCTTATGGGACTTGCACCAAAGCGGCACATTGCAATAATCACAAACAGAACAATAATCACTTAAGCAGAGCTTGACACAAATCGCGTACAAATGCTTCACTCTAGCAAGAAAATGGCAATTGAAGGCTTGCACCTTGCAGAAACAAAATTTCAGGGTCGATGTTTACATGGTGGAAACGCACTGGAGTAAGTCTGTCCACACCCACTCGGAAGGAGTGTGCTCCCTCCTAAACAGATAAGTTTGAGAAATGGACTTTTTCGGTAGCTCTGAGCCTTCAACGGCCACACTAAAATAATTTGACTGTATGAATATTAGATTTTCACGCACACTACCCTCATTCAGCTGCTGAATTTGTTGTAGAAACTCAGGACACTCATTACATTGCATTTTACCATTTCAATGTAGGGCAATAGATAAATCAAGTTCAGCAAGCTCAAGCTTCAGTGACCTCTTGATGTTTGCAAGATTTCTTACTTCCAAAAAATGTTCACTGTCCAATTCATTTTACAGTTTGATGAATGGCATCCACACAAAAAAAATTCATGTCACTTGTGTCACCTAATATGCATTACTTATAAGTTCTGTAAATTTTGAAAACATTTTATAATGTGAATTTCTGCTTTCAAACAATGTGCACGTTTCAATCAAGTTACATTGGACCTGCAATCATTTGCCATCCTCTTTCACTAATACACTAACTTTATTGTCAGGCATTATATGAACCCTTGACAGCAGAAGTGGTGTAAGTCAAAAACAAACTTTCCGGAAAATGATGTGTAAACGAAAAATGCTGTAAAACTATAATGCTTAGAAATCAATGACCTACAGTGTTATGAGCGTGTTAAGGAGATATTCTTTGAACTTACTGCAAATATTTTGGTCTGAAACGTTGCTTATTAATTAAGTAATTAAATTAACTATTTTGTTGACTTATATCACTCTTGCACACACTGTTTCTGAAAACTATGACTGATACTCAAGTAATTGGCATGCATAATTTTCATCTGCAATAACAATGTGATGAAAAATAGAGTAAATTTAATGCAAAACTTAAAAGAATAATGTACACAATGTATTTAAGCACTATGTTTTTATATTTTATACAATGTAAATTATAATTAGTTAATATCACAAAAAATAAAATGGAAGTTTGTTTACTACTATTACAAGTTTTACATTAAATCACTAAAAATAAGCATTTTGGAGAAGGCCAAGTCAGCAGTGCTCACTTTGTCGACAAGTTGGTTGGGGCAGCAGGCTCCTCCTCATCTTAAACATGTTCTAATGGTCCGATAATCTTCATCAATTAGGAATGTTTTTAGTCAGTTGAAGTAATTGTAGTGCACTGGAGGTATGTATTGCGGAAGTTTAATTGTGTCTTTATTTTTTTTTGCAACAGTTACAGGCGACAGTTAGGTTCTTCTCTAAGGAACTGCATCCACTGTATTTGTACCCAATTTACTGTGGCTCCTGCATTATTAATCTTTCTCACAATTGCTTTTTCAAGAGGCAAAATAGATTTAAAATTGTTTTACATTCTGTTCTTTGTTCAAACTGAATGGAAGATATTATACCAGTCAGAGGGAACATAATGAATTTAATTTTTGCTGGCTTGCTCAATGATTTTCATATCAGTTATTTTTCATAAATTAGTGTCCTGATACAATAAATTCATGGTCAATAATGTTTAAATTATTGGCTATGTCTGTCATGATTTTCATCCAAGTGAGAGCAATTTTGAGGTTGCAATTTTGACATCTGATGACCTGTGCATGTATCACTAAAAGCGATTAAATGTTGCCCACTTCTGCATTGTGCCTGCCTGTAGTTAAGAAATATTGAAGTTTGACTCGCATCATTTTATCACATGATGGGAAGATGTCAAAACCACCTACCAGTGCATTCAACACAAATATTCCAAAATTTGACTTGCATCACTTTCCCTCTCAACGGCTGGTTGGTTGGTTGATTGGTTGTTAGTGATTCCAGGCATGTCAACTACAGAGTTCCTAAATTCCCTAGTGCATGGTTTTTCATTTAGAGGTGGAGGATGACGAGATCTGGCCTACTGTCAGCTAGTGGGATTTCTCGCAACCAAGTATCTCTCTTCACTGGGGCACTGCCCTATGGTGGATAAGCTCTAAGCTGCCAACCGGTCTCTTGGCATGCATGGTTAGTGTAAGTGTGTGTAAGGGGTGAGGATAGGAGAAGGAAGAGGTAGGAAAGATCACGCTCGGTCTGTGGTCGGTCGGTCTGTTTGTTACAGTACTGGTCCAGCATTCACCTGGTGATGATTAGAGAAACCACGGAAAACTACCGATTAGGGCAGCCAGCCGCTAGAATTCTCCTCCAACCAGCGACTGAATTTGACCTAACTGCCAAGCTAGTGTCGAAAATTCTGCCACCAGCGGGACTTGAATCTTGGACCTCCCGGTCAAAGACATTAGTTGCAGTGACATTAGTTGATGCCCCGAGCCATCTCCCCCGGTTCCTCTCAATAGCTCATATGTTGTATTTCAATAGATTCATAAAATGAATACATATTTACATCAATAGTTATTAGTAAGCACCTTCCCATTTTCATATGAGGAAATGAGAGAAATCCCTTTTGATTTGCTACTTTATTTAGTTATTATAATCACATAAAATTATGCAGTGAGATGTTCTTGAATTTTTTGTAAGATCAGCCTCCAAAATCCTCCTTTATTTGTTTATTTCTATCTATTGCCATTGCCATTCTATTGTCAGAAATTCTAACATTATCTCCCTCACTTTTAACCTCAGGTAATTTAACACTCTTCCAGAATCATATACTTTTAAATGTGAGCTCCGCTTACTCTCATCTTATTAAATTTTATTTCATTCTTCTAAAACTGCAGAGGCACTTGTCTCCATTTTTGGCATGTTTCAACCCGTTTTTGATTAAATTAAAAAGACTAAAACAAACACTGAAGGGTAACACTAGATCACTCATTATTTACTTCTACAGAACACTAAAATCTGTCCTCGTGTTTTCACTAAATAGATATCTTTACTTTATCATCTTCAATTCAAGTGACTGCACTGATTCACATATGGGTAAAATATTTAAATAATTTAATTTCTTGTTGTAAGGACTTAAATACAATAGGAAAATTACATTCTTATTACTCAACAAAAACTGCAGCTTATCATCTTCAACATTTCAAGTTTATTTCGGGTGTTCTTGCATGTTAAGATATCTGGTATCTTAACTAAAAGTATCTAACTAGTATCTTGTTATTATTCAAGAGACACATTTCTAATATATTCAAAACAACTGAGCCTTATTGGTAACAAAACAAATAGTACAGTAGCAACAAACATCCTTTTACTAGTCTACAAAGCAGACAGGACAGCCAATCATCTCCATCGTCCAAGAACATTCTCAAAATACAAGATATGTTTTCAAAATAAGTAATTGGGAAAACTCATAAAAATTTGTTTTTCAAAACAAAATTTATTTTTATATGAAAGAGCATTTCTTAAACTATTTTTCTACAGAGTTGTCACCATTGTTCCGACATTTGTCACAGCGGAAAACACATCTTTCTTTGTCCTTTTCATAGAAAGGTGTCGCCATTAAAGACAGCCACTCCGGAACACCGTTTTTGAATGCAAAGAATGTTAAGCTAACCGAAATTTTCAACCAACTCAAAGAGATTTACGGTGAAAATGTAATGAGTGATGGAATGGTAAGAAAGTGGGTCAAAAGACAATTCAATGATAGACAAACCAATTTTCATGACAAAGCAGAGGGAGTGACCTTCGTTGTCAATAAAGAGCTGAAAAAGTGAAAGAAAAAATTTGTGAAAATATATGGTTATCCATAAGAATGCTTTCTGATCAGGGTTTCACAAATTGCAGCACCATTTTCGCAAAAAAATGTTCAGAAGAGGCTGCTTTCACTGGCGGTATCTTTCGATGAAGAGGGCTTAGAAAAGTTGGTTTCCTGATGTGACAGAAGTCTAAACATTGGTGACAACTCTAGAAAAATAGTTAAGGAAATGCTCTTTCATGGAAAAATAATTTTTTTTTTGAAAAACAAATTTTTTTGAGTTTTTCCCCGTACTTACTTTAAAAACACGTCTCATATTATGATGAATAGTCCCAAATTGTATAATTAGGTGGGTAGAATTACCTGATGGATCAAGAACTGTTCTAGTTCTTTGTTTCAAAATCAATTTTTGAGAAGGTCCAGCATGACAACAAAATGTTTGCTGATAAAATTAATAAAATATTATCATTACTATTGTTGAAAAATTAGTATTTATCCACCACGTCATTTTACCTCCACTAATTGCTAAAATATGCTCCAGTAATGAGAAAAATATTGAGACTTTTACTACAAAAAGTATAATAAACATTTTAAGAGGTTTTTCCCAAATGAAGATCATGAACACCCTTTGTTTCAGTGATAAAACATACTCAGTAAGCTGTACCTGGTGCAGGGAGGGACATGTCTAAGCAATAAAATCATGAACCTTGAGTCTTTCCTGGTCAGCTACATACAGATGCAACTACTTCCAAACCATGCTGTCACACAAGCAATGCAATCAGATAAAGTCCATCAATGATCTCATGAATTCCAGAAATTATCAGAATATACAAGAGTTAACTTTTGGTGAAACTTACTTTATTTCTCATAGAGGCAAAAAACTGCTGTTATTTTGTAAACACACTCAATCCATTACAAAATTAATTATAACTTACTTTCAAAAACAGTAGGGAAGAAATGAAATGAAAAAACTTCTACACTTTTTCTACACTTTCTCCTAGAATCCAGTTGACACTGGAGAATTATGCTGGTAACTTTTTTATAGGTAAAAACCTTGAAACTTGATAATTTAAACTTCACTTCACCTTCTTAATGCATTCGGTATTTGGTAATTCAAACCTTATAAGAAAATATAACTTAAATTATTTCCCCTACAAATATGGAATTACCAAATTTCTAACAAATTAAGAAGTATTAAAAAATATGAAAAACCAACCTCCTGCCTTCTCACTCATTAAGACAAGAAAATTATTGAAATTGAAGATTACGTATGCGAAACAAGGCAATACACAGGAGACATTAATCATTACATCTTAACACAGGAGACACAAAGCATTACGTACTTTAAAACAGTGTCAAGCAAAGCCAAGTCTTCCAACTGTCCAATAAGAAGTGTCCACTGGCATGTGTCACGAGAGACATTTTCCCATTCACTCACAGAACTATGAGTTTCATCATCAGGTGTAACTGACATATCCTGACAACCATCACTGTCATTACAATTGTCATTTTCTGAAGAATGTTTATTTTTTGAAGATGCTAAATGCTGTAAAGAACACAAGGGTATATATTTGTATTCATGTTAGGCTTGAATTAATGAAAATTTAACTACTTGAATTAATGAATTAACTACTCTGCTTAAAAAAAACAACAATAAAGTGACACTATGATGGATGTACAATAAAATTTCAAAATTAACTATTCATGAAAAAATCACAACTGTATTTCAACTTATTAACTAGTGTATATATAACTGTATAACTTGAATTACATGTTCTGTATTTACTTGATTATAAAACGAGATTGTTTTCCTAAGTATCTCATTCAAAAAATTCAGACAGCTTATAGATTAATCCTAGTCAGTTGGTTTGATTTTAAAATGTCTTTCTACATCGAGAAACTTGAATGGTAAAGTTGCAAAAGCACCAAGTATCAAACATATCTATAAAATCTAATTATATTCTGAGACATATTCTTGGTATTGAAAAAGAATATAAATTATTAAAGAGATTTTGTAACAAAATGCACTGGTCGACAAGGCTGCATAATCTCGACACCCGGCGAGCCCAGTTCTGAGTTTTACACAAGATGGAAAACGAAAAATTTGATCAATGGAAGTATGCATTCTACATTCAGCTGCAGTGTCAAAATGATATTAAGAAAATATTTTATTTGCAAAAACTTCTCACGCTTGGGAACCTGCCATTCTCTCCATGAAAGTGAAGCATGAGTTTGCAGTTCAAAACTCAATCCCATACACACTTTATAAATGCAAATTTCAAATATATTCCGTTAAAGAAACTAAAAGAACAGTTAAAAAATTATAATGAACAAGAGTGTAGCAGAAAGAAATTCTGGTGATTCAGAAAAGAATGTTCGTAGATTGCAACACATCAAAGAAACACAAATACAAGGTGCAAAACTTTCAGGGGAGCCTAAAAAGTTAAGAGAACAATGCAGTATGGGAGAAGAACCAAAAAGAAAAATAGTGATCAATGTGAAGATGAAGATGGTAGTAACAAAAACCAATATTATGATTTTAAGGAACAAGAAAATTGAGATAGATCAGGCAACACATTTTTAACTTTCTCATCAGCAAGACAATTTTCTATGGCGTTTGCAATTTTATTTTTACTAAATAGTAAGAATTAGTTCAAAATTTTAAAAATTCTCTGCAGGCCTCTTCATTTAAGAGATCGTTTTATTTTATATTCAGTTAACTTACATTCGGGTAAATATGGTAATATTATCTTTCTCTGCTGCAATGATAAATAAATAAATAAATGTTAAATGTTACATTAAAATATAGTAAAACATAAATAGTAATTTACAAAAATTTTTAGATTAATATAAATACTTTATCTCCTAGGAGTGAACATTGATATAAAATAATTTTGTTTCAGTTACATTGGCATAAGTTCATTGCAAATCTATTTAAATACATCAGTCCAATGAACAACACATCGTTTGTTAAGAGATATTGTTCTCTCATAGAAAACATTTTTGCATTTGTTTCATTTAGCATGCAGCCACTATGAATTAAAATTGAAGAATATTGAGGAGTATTACATGAAAAAGAATTATATGCAATAATTATGTGTGGAAAGAGAGAGCGCATCAATGATGAAAATTCACATATCTAATTATTTACACATTGCTTGAAGACTTTTTTGGGGGAGGAATTCTCAAAGCGGTACAGTCGATGATTGACTCATAGAAATGGGAAAAATAAGAATATCCTTATGACCATTAATACAATACCGAAGTAGCTGGTTCATGGAAATTAGGCAAAAGAATATAAGAGCTAATATACCTGTGGTACTGTACTTCAGAGAAAATAATTTTTTCTAAGACTTGTGTATTAGAAATTTCCCAATTTCTTGATTTTTTCAGTTTTTCACTACATATTTTTAGACAATTTTTCCAAAGCGTAACCACTACTACATAATACATCGGATAACACAAATTTTTATAGAAAGAACACCGATTATTTTAATCCCTTAGAATTCGTGTTAACTAGGGTTTAATGTAATTTGCCTTTGTATTCCTAAATTGTGAATTAAATTGTTTCTTAGCAATCATGCAACCTATGAAAATGTTAACAATGTTTATTTTGTATAATTTATTTCTTTTGATAATTTTTTTATTATTACTAATAAGTTTTACCACATCCCTCTTTAAACTTTCCATGTAGTTTCCTATGACATTTACAGCTTTTCCTGGTCACAACAGTCCTCACCTTCATTTCTTTATCCTTTTCCAGAGATAATGCAACTGCCCTACATATTATTGCACCTGTCAGAGCCATAAAGGGATTGGCAGAATCCATAAGTACACGCCGAACTTCTCGCCACCATGAAGACAATTCGTTATATTCCGCGCAAATAATATCTACATCTGAAAAGGATATTTCAGAAGACATTTAAATGGCAATTAATATAAAAAAATATTCTAAAACTGATCAAGAATTAGGTTCCAGACTTCTACCAAGAATCGTTTCAAGTTCATTTACTAAAAATTAAGAGAGAAGATAACAGAAAGTTTAGTTTCAAACTACAAAAACACAGGAAGAGAACATTTAAAAACCCATAACACATATACAAGAATTTGAGGAAAATCACAATTAAAAGTAAGAAACAACATAATTAAAACATGTACTAATAGCAAGAAAGAAATACAGGAAACAGGAAAATTAAAAACCAATTACCCAATGAATGTGAACTATCTTCCTTTGTTATACCAGATAAAGCTTCTATAATTAGCATGAAAATGAAGCAAACATAAGAATTAATATATGTAAGAATTATAACATAGATGGCAATAATGACATATTAAACATATGTATCATCTTACCAGCTAAGGAACAAATCACCTTCAACAAAGCAGTGAATCTCAACATTTCAGCTTCAATGGATGAACCCCCTTGTTTATGTAACCAGAAGTGTAAAGCTAATCGCATCAATTCAAGAGGTTGAATTCCACTTTCATGTGCATATTCCTTCCAATCATCCAGTGAAGTATCACTATATAATGTGCCTTGATACATCAGTTCACCTACAGACAGAAATCTCTTATACCTTTGTCACACATGACTACTAAAACAAATTTTGAAACTTAATTTAACTTACTAATGCTTTGAATTTTGTCCTCTGAAACATTTTTCTTCAAGTCAATCATTTGAGATTCATTTGATATATGATTCCCTATTTCAAAACACGATACAAATTCAACAAATGCTGAACGACTATCATGTTTAAATGCAACTCTAGCTTCTGATTGAGATTTTCCACTAACTGTTTCAATAGTATTCATTAAATTAAGTAAGTTATTGACTTCTCGTTCAGGTGCATGTAATAAGTTGGACAAATTCTGCAATAAGAAATTAGAATCAATACAACGTAAAAACAGTTCATAAATTGCACTTGTTAAGAACACAGACACAAAGGGTCAAAACAAACTTACTGAAGGAAGAGAACAGGGAAAAGATATACGAAAATCCAAAAACTAGCTTTTTAGTTAACAGACCTCAATAACAATCACACTCACTACATGTACAAATCTTTTTGGGCCTAATCTTAATTGAACGGTTCATATTCTCATTGAACATTAACATACTTTTTCACAATATCATCAAATTACAACCCAAAATTCAATTTGTCAACAAAAATTATCCTAGATTAAAACCCACCAAGAAGCATGCAACATTAGTCAAAAAAGCGCTTATCCAGGGGGTCAGAATAAAGGTTACACACTTCCAGAAAAATTAAGGGCAGTGGCATAACATTCGGGTCTGCAAGGCCTACAAAGCCGGTGGGCCCGGGTAAAAGAGGGCCTGTTTTTAGGGGAAATTTTTTATTATTTAACTAACACTATTTCTGTTTGCTACTCACTTTTATGAAGGGTAACGGTAAAATGTTTTGCAGGCGAACCCGCACTCTGCTACTGCCCAAGGGGTTCCAATGTAATCACTTTTTGCCAATGAACTTGTGGTAAATTTTATTTAACCCTCAAGTAGGTTTTGTGTCTCAATCTGTACATCTCACACATTTCTTTGTAATCCCTTTCCTTCCTAAATCTTTTTGTATAGTTTTCACGAAGATCAATGCTGACTCACAGACATCACAAACCAGTAGAAAGTATTTTTATTATCATACGTAGCTAAAAACAGAACTGACACCCATAAAGACACCCCGTCTTCAGGTGCGTTAAACAATTAGAGAAACTAGGAGTATACCAGGAGATACAGATTCCTTCGATTTCTAGCTAGGGCAGTCAATTCTTTGAGAAGTCAAACATTTAAAATAATTCATCATGCTAATTGGCTAAGGAGTTACATTGATGGTTGATAATTGGGAAACAGGAAATGCATTCCTACATAATTATTGGACTTAAAACTGTGTACAATACAGTTATATAGATTTAGTACAAATTAAGTATAGCTATCAGATGATTATATAAATGTTATGAAATATATTATTTATTTATATATGTTATAAAAATATTCTACTATGATATGGGAGTGGAAACAGCACTATTCAAATTTTATTACATACAAAATAACTCAATGCACTATTCTAAGCAATAATTTCTCTTTTAATTTATTTAATAATTTTGATTATGAAGTATTAGTACAGTGGCACCTTGCTGGTAAGAGTGCTTGCAACACAAATTATGTTGGTAGCACAAGCTGCAGCTTTTAACAAAAGAAAATGTTAATTGCGAATCCATCACAATCATAATAGATGCTGGAAGTGATGTCCCTTTCACTTGTTTCCTAGTGATCTGGTCACTACCAACATAAATTTAATTTTTAATAGGAGGCCCTGATTCAACTCAGTGTGGAGAGACTTTCCTTAGACTTTGTATTTCTGAACTGCTTCTTCATTACAATCCACATTTTTCATCATTCTTATAAATTCAAAAGTTAAAATTAATGAAGTGTTTATTTTCATTCATATTTAGTGGTATCGTTTTTGCCCCCACAACTCCAATTCTGTCCTAAATTTTTCATAATACCAAGGGTCAAAGTTACATACATGACATTTCTGACATTGCATTCCTGATTGGTAGGCACAGTACCCTGCACTGATTGTTTTTGACAGGTATAAAAACCCACAGGGAATGACTTGGCTACTGGCAAATGCAACATTGAATTTTTTGACTTTATTGTTCAACTTTGACCACAAACATTGCTCAAAGTGATAGCCAAAAAGTTTGATGCATATGTGATATTCATGTTTTGATCCCCCCCCCTCATGAAGTAACTGTGATACTGGAGTAATCCCCTAGACAATTATAACATTTATTTCGAATCACTCTCTACATTACACAGAAACCCAACCATTGTTAATTATAAGGCCTGGAAAGGAATAGAAAGTTCATAATCATATCTATTAGTGTGGAAGACATTACAGATGTATTATTTTTAGAGGTCAAACAGTACTGCTGAATAACAATTTCAGATTGATATTTTTGGGGTTGTATATACGAGATAATTTGTAATAATATCTTCTGTCCCAATTTAAATACAAAAGTACTGCCTAATCACAGAAAATGAATCATCCAGAAATAAGTTATTGTATGAGTATAGAAACACTCTAAAGAGATATTTCAACCCAAGAAATTTACACAGATCAAGAAATAAACGAATCAGCAATGAGAAACTGAAGTTGGTTTCAGAACTAAGAAGGAAAAACATGAACTTCATGGCAACACTTAAAAATTGGCATAAATTTACAAACAGATATTTCACATTAATATAATTCACTAAAACATTAATTTAAACAACTTTCCAGAGATGCAAATTATAATATTTCTAAGTCTACGTTTCTTAAAAGTGTTATCAGCAGAAACTCAACATAATTTGCATTTCCTGATATTAGAAAAAGTAATTCACACACACTTTAAGACAACAGTTTACTTCCCTGAAAACTGTCTTACCACAGATTTTCCACAGACAAACAGTTGAAGAAAGAGCTTCCTTTGATGGCTCATCTATCAATCAAAACCATTCTATTGAAAGTTATAAGAATACTTAAGCAAAAGTAGACAAAGAGAGTTAGAAAGAACAAATATTGAAAATTAGTAAAGTAATAAGATCTAAAATTATTGATAAAAATAACTATCAAAAACATTTTTACTGTTTTAGCTCACTTTTGTTTACACTGATTTATTTAATTTTAATTAAGAACTTGAAATACAAAAAAGTTTATCAAATACTTTCAGCTAGAAGCATTATAGAAATGTCAAGATGTGACCCAGAGAAATAACTGGAAACTGGTTATTATAGAGCAACGTTTGAAAAGTGCATCTTAAAATGTAATGTTTTGGCTCACTTCTTGCAGTTGGTTAAACCAAATACAAACAGTTGCTTCCACTGAATGATAGAACACTTAATGTGAATTAATTACATAAACTTTACACAATACACACCTGGGCAGACTTGTGGTCAGGAACAACAGTACTGTACTTAGGTGGTTTTTGATGTTCTTCTTGAACAAAATTGTAAAATCGTAACAATTTTTCCAATCGTTCACACATGTGGAGAAGAGTTTTACTTGAGGCATCTATTGACTGAATATCTAGTAAGCAAATAATTACAATTTTAAAGGTAGGTAACATTAATACATAAAATATGTTTCAGAATAACGTGCACAAATGTAAAGGATAGGATGATTGATATTTCTGAGTATGTCATCTGATATGATCCCGTCATCTGATTAGTCCTGCTAGTGTAGTGAAGGTTATATGACAGGAGGCGATGGACTTCCCCTGTCAGACAGTGAGATCTGATACCACCTACATGGGGAGATAGAGGTATCACCCCAGCTGAGACAAGCACTACATTCCCCACTGATCTTCTAACAAGAGATAATGTAGTGCCATTTCCTAACATGAGATAATGTAGTGCATGTAAAAGTGTAAGTTTGTGTAAAGGGAGAGGGTAGGCCAGAGGGGCTTCCAGTCAGAGTTGCTGCAGAGACAACAGTATTGCTGGCTCTGAGCTAAATTAATCGGCACAATTGGTAAAGGGGCTAAAGGGAAACACTTTGTGTGAAGGAACCCCGGGTCTAAGAAAAGCCAAAAACACAAACAACACGTCTGTGCCCATGCACAGTCGGCATACAAACACAACCTTAAGTCGTTTAAGTGGCCACAATTTCAGGCTGAGACAAGTAATCATTTCATTTGGTTTATTCATTTTAATTCAGTTTTGAATTATTAAATTACTGTTGCCTACTACAATATTTATGACCTTCATTTCTGCCTTAACCCTCTCAGCAAAAATAGTGGTCATCTACACTACTCGTGTGTTGGTATACCAAACTCACAGGGGGACAGTAGTTTTATGACACAATCTCACACAAAGCACAGGCTTCACAGCCCCTGTGCTTATTGTTGGAAAAGTTCCTTTGAAGGCCTAGAACGGTCCTCTGTGTATATGAACTTTTTCTTAAAAATTATATACCAATAAACTAACATAAAAGTGTAGAACAGCCAGATATTACTAAATATTACTTTTGTTTAATATATCCTTCACAATATTGACTCTTCGCTTGCTTATAGTATTTTCTTTATGTGTGTCATTTAGAAGAACATGTAATTATATTCCCCTTTATCGTTAAAGTCTGTAATAGATTGTAGAGGACAATTCCCAATTTTGAGAACATGCAACCATGGTAAGTCTTGATACTGATATATTTTTCTCTTGTGCATTAGTCATCTCAAAATTATTCAAAAAGTAGTTCACGTTTTTAATTTATGTGATAGTGCTTTATATTTTATTATTCAGAATCATAAGACGTTTGTTTCACTAATTTTATTGCTGTACCATTTTATAATTATACCCAAGTAATTGATATAAGATCACTTACATTGTATGAGGGTATAATGATCTGACATTCATTTTCAAACTATGTAACAATGCAACTGACTGAATTACTCTCAAGACAAAGGAAAGGACCCCATGGGTCAATAGAGAGGAAATCCAATCATCATCTCAGTACCTATTGCCATAAAAAATACCTCACATAGTGAATGCATACTTGCAAAAAAATTTATAATAGATACTGAAATTATTGCATTTATACCCAAAGTTCTGTGAGGATATGACCAAAAATGTGAGCTAACAAAATATTTTTCTTCAGTAGTTCTTACTACACATTAAGATCAGACTTATTGCATAACTTCTAATATGCCTGTTTGATTATGCACTATCAGCAGATGAAGTATCATAAAAATCAGTGTCCAACAGAGTAATTTCTGCATATTAGATCAAAAGTCAAAATTGGGGGTAAAATTGAATTATAATAAAAATAACCAATGGTATAATTAATGACATCTAATGTACTTTTCAGTGAGAGGTAAGAATATGTCAGGATGGCTTGAGATTGCCACATTGACTGATAACTAAATGATTCTTTAATAGTGTTCAATACTCAATTTTCCAATGCCTTAAAAGATGTGTTTGGTGATATTTGAAGTTTTGTGTATTAACTTTGTTCCCTTTATCCAGTTTCAATATTATTGGATGTAAATAAATGACACCAAAACTAGTAATTGACAACAATATTTCCATACCTCTATTTTTCTCCGTTAATTTGTGTTTACAAACTTCGACAGCTGTAAGTAGGGCTTTTGGCAAAGTGTAACGACTAGAAGCAAGAGTTTCAATGGTCTGAATCTGAACTTCTACAGTCTGGAGCTCTGAAACAGTTCGCTGAACTTCTTGAACAATTTCTTCCTCTTCATGGTCACCAGATTTAATAAATCGTTTCATTTCCTTTAAAAGATGTATATCTCTTGTCCTTTTGCTGTCTTTTGCACTTTAATAGAAAATCCAAATGAGTGGTAAAACACACAGCATAAAATATTAATTCGATAATTTTGTACAGTAATATATCAATATAACGAAACTGTTGGACCTCAGGAACAAGATATAGTGAAATTTTGTTATAATAAAATAAGTAAATTCATAAAAACACATTACAGTATGTCCATTGCAAAATGAACATCAATTTACTAGTAAACAAGTTTAATTTATTAGATAAGAGAAACACAAAATAATTGCAATGGGATTTACAAATTTTACCAGTGAATTATTGTTTTTTGTTGCCATTTTTGTTGTTGTTCATTTCTTTTTTTATTTCTTTCCAAATTGTATGCTGTATGAATTGGGCAATATTGAGCAAACTATTTAATCACTTTTCTATATGTACACTACAGAAAAATTACTGAATTTTGTTAGTTTTGCTATAATTATACTAACTCGTCAAAATCAGAAAAAAGTATGAGAGTATTCCATAAGAAGATTTCAAGTCAATACAAACCTTAGGGCAAAATGAAAAGGAACAACAATTTCTTTAAGGCTGCCACAAGGATCTATGAAAACAACTGGCAATTGACTCCTGTTGCCATCTTTCAAAAGGACATTATTAAGTCCCAGAAATCCATAACCTACGTACAAAAGCCTAAAACAAAAATATTGATGATTGTATTAAAAACATTTTTTGGCTAAAATCTTCAAATACAATCAGTAAGATAATACTTTACTTTTTATCACCACAAAAGAGAATGGTGTGTTTCAATGGAAATGCAAGTCATATACTCTGAGCATTGAGAAAAATTGAAGTAATATTATTAATAGAAGTTTCTAAATTTCTATCTAAGTTTCTGATTAAAAAACAAATAATAAATATTTTAATTTGAGTAGAAAGAAAAGATTATATACACATGCACAGAAAAATCTGTCTAAGCCAGAATCGATCAGGACAAAAAAATGTTTGATATTTCCATTACGAAACTTGTAAAGTAATGTAAGTAAAGAAGAAATTAATTAAGTAAAGAAAAAATTACATGATTTTATTGCAATTATTAAAATAGATTTACATATAACATATTTATGGAAGAAATCACCAATAAATGAATATTAAACATTCTTCATTGACAGCTTCTGACTTTCTCTTGCTTCCGTAAGTTTGACTTTTTCATCTAATGTTAAGAGTTTTCTGATTATCGCATTGTAGAACTGGTTGTGAAATTCATAAACTCCACCTCACTGCCTAACGGCTTGCCCTGCCTCGCTGTCTAACACACACGCACGCACTGAAAAGCCAAAAAAACACCAAAAAATTGTTACATCTGCCTAATATCCCGGTAGGTACCCCGCGAACACGCAGAAGTGCCGCAACACGACGTGACATGGACTCGACTAATGTCAGAATTAGTGCTGGAGGTAATTGATACCATGAATCCTACAGGGCTGTCCATAAACGAGGCGGTGGAGATCTCCGCTGAACAGCATGTTGCAAGGCATCCCAGATGTGCTCAATCATGTTCATGTTTGGGAATTTTGGTGGCCAGCGAAAGTGCTGAAATTCAGAAGAGCGCTACTGGAGCCACTCTGTAGCAATTCTGGACGTGTGGGCTCTCGCATTGTACTGCTGGAATAGCTCAAGTCCATCGGGATGCACAATGAACATGAATGGGTGCAGGTCAGACAGGATGCTTACCTCCGTCTCACCTGTCACTGTCGTATCTAGACGTAGCGGAGGTCCCATATCACTCCAACTGCACACGCCCCATGCCATCACAGAGCCTCCACCAGCTTTAACAGTCCCCTGTTGACATGCGGGGTCCATGGATTCATGAAGCTGGCGCCATACTCGTACACGTCCATCCGCTCGAAGCAATGTAAAACGAGAGTCGTCAGACCAGGCAAAGTGTTTCCAGTCAACAACAGTCCAATGTTGGTGTCGACGGGCCCAGGCGAGGCGTAAAGCTTTGTCATGCAGTCATCAAGGGTCGACGAGTTGGCCTTCGACTCCGAAACCACTTATAGACAATGTCTCGTTGAATGGTTCGCACACTGACACTTGATGGCCCAGTATTGAAATCTGCAGCAATTTTCGCAAGCGTTGCACTTCTGTCACGTGTAATAATTCTTCTCAATCGTTGGTTCCTTTCTTACACTACTTTTTGCGACCGCAGCGATGCCGGAGGTTTGGTTTTACTGCATTCCCGATATTCATGGTACACTCGTGAAATGGTCGCACGGAAAAATCCAAATTTCATTGCGACCTCGGAGATGCTATGTCTCATCTCTCTCGCGCAGTCTATTACACCACGTTCAAACTCACTTAAATCGTGATAATTTGCCATTGCAGCAGCAGTAACCGATCTAACAACGGTGCCAGAATCTGGTTGACTTACATAATCGTTGCCGACTGGAGCGCCGTATTCTGATTGGTTGCAGATCTCTTTATTTCAATACGCATGGTAGTACCAGTATAAATGGCTCTCCAGTGTATATGTAGGGTGAGTCACGTAACTTTAGCACCTCCTATAACTTTTCAATGGTTAAAGATATTGCAATGCAGTTTTCACGGAAGTGTATGGGGAATGAGGCTAATTGATACGTGTATTCATTTCTATTTTATCACGTGTATTTTATGGGCTATTCGGGGTAACTTTGTTTTTTAAATGGAACTATACATACTTTTCGGCTTATAATATCACGATGAGGGTGAAAAGAAATGATATTGTATATATGTTAGATAGTATTTTTTGAGAAATTTTGTGTTTAAGCGACTAGTGTTTAACGGATATTTTGAATGAAACAGTCCGCGACATAAGGTCACGTAGCGCTCTCCCTCCTATTATAGCGCGCGCTCGGGAAAGGGAAGGGATCTTAGTATTTGAAGACGCGAAACAGATTCCAAATATTCACAAAACTGTTGGAGTGTGTTTAGTTTCAAGATCCCATTAATATCACGTGGAATGAGACTCCTTTGAATGAAGTTGAAATAATCTTATTTCAATTCATACTACTTCTGACAAATCCGCATTTTCAATCCTTAATACAAAAAATATGAAAATGCGGAAGGATGGAAAGCAGAGTTCAGGAAGAAACCTGCTACAGTTTTGTGAATATTTGGAATATGTTTCAAATACTATGATCCCTTATTCACCACATCTAACATATGCAGTTTTGAAATCATTTTTCATTGATTAACAAGGTTGGCGTTTAATTTCCTCTTTTTTTCCTTTCTTTCTTTTTTTTCCCCATTTGGCTGGTGAAGTGAGATGGCTCTTAAATGTATCAAGAAACTGCATCCCACGTTTCGTTAGAAGAGCAACTGGTTTCTTGTTCAAGACTGTTCGGAGCCAATCTAAAAGCAGCTTTGTTCATCCACCCTTTTACGTTGCAATATACATGATATATGATACCAAGCAGCAACTTTTCTTTTACCATTGTTTTACAGTTAAGGATGGCAACTAAATGCTGTACAACTGGTTCAGACGGTCTTTAAATAGCTTATTCACCATCATATCTAACACTTGGCGCACGCGCCGCATCTTAGTTCCATTATCAATAACACACAACATCGCAGTGATTCGCGATTTCTTGTTGCCTGTAGTAAGAACCAATACACTTTTGGTACCTTTCTCTTCAACTGTTGTGCTGGATGACATGTCAAAGTAAACAGGAGGTTCATCACCATTTCCGAATTGTCCTAAAAGGTAATTATGTTCTTTTCTCAGTCATAATATGTCGATGGTCGACCAACTTCTCCTTATATGCTGCTGGATGACGCCAAGCAAGAAAGTCCGACGTCACAACACTATACTTCGATTTTTATATAGTGGCCAATAACATTAGGTCATTGTTACACCTCCTGCCTTTTAAAATGAATCGTTTTAATTAATTCGCTAACGTCCTTCTCAAAGGGGCTCGTGGCCTCAGAAATGTGACTACCACTGTTAAAAAGATTTATTTCAGCAGGTAACAATGACCTAATGCCGTCGACTACTACAGAAAAATCAAAGTATAACCCTCTGAGACGCATCAATATTTCAACACCTCCCGCTGCTGGCTTTAAAAATTGACATGGTGCTCCTGTGCCATTTAGTATGCTTTATTCGTAAAACTTCTCTGGATACAGCAATTTCTTCTTTACGTTCCTCGCGCACAAATGCCACATCTCCCATTCCAATATTTTCGAAACGCCCACTATATGGGTCACTTAAAGCTTTCCTAGTGGAATGGGCATTCTTCTTCCTTTCGCCAACTACGAACATTAGCAAATGTGACACCATACTTTCTCGATGTTGCACCATACCATTGTTTGTTACTTCTGCGAGACGAATGCACCACGATTTATTTAAATAAACCGTGAGCAGACGGTAAACGGTTAACCGTGCACTTGATGTAAATCGGCTGCTCACGGCTTCATCCAATCAGAAGCTCTAACTTCTCCATAGTCACGCCACTGTAGACATATAAGCTCCCGATTCGATGAAACTGCAACACTTGATTTATGTCAAGTGCACGAATGATTTGGAAGTTTGCATCACAGTAGCGCATGCATTCTTTTGCGAAGTTCGAAGTTGAACCTCGTTACTCAACACTTCACTGTGAAATTCATTCGTGGAATCTACAAGAAATGTTCACCACAACAATCGCCTCGTGACAGTGTCACAATAATTATGAAGAAAAGACCATCACTACGCGCAATCAGTGTTGCCATATCGGCGGAATTCCCGCCGTTTTCAGCGGATTTTGAACTCGTACGGCGGAAAAAATGAGTTTCGCGGACAGCGGAATAAACGGCGGGAATTAATAAAGTTAGTAAAGCATCAGTTTTCGTTAACCTCTATTAATAAGTTGTCTTGCACAGATGTATATTTTGAAAATTTCTAACTCCATGTTACTAGCAAGAATAAAAATTATAATACTTATACAATAAATTATATACTACCTGAAATCAATTGTTATTATTTTGCAAACTTTCACCCAAGTAATGCATTCTATACTATCTAAAAATTGAATTACAGGTTCAATAAAGCCACTATATTTCGCAATCATATTTTTGTTTTAATAGAATAAATTAATACAACATTTAAATATGGAAAAATAATTTATTTTACGTTTCGCGGATTTAGGCGGGAAATTTAAAACCAATTCAGCGGATTTTCGGCGGAAACAGAAACGAACATGGCGGAATCTCTAAACACATCTGGCAACACTGCGCGCAATCGTACAATTTTCGGAACGAATGCAAACGTGCTTAAGAGGTAGACTTGGAAAAGGCTACAGATAATTGGAAATATCGCGGTATTGTTCAGTAAAGGAAAAAAATAATCCAATTCAAACGAATCGCATGTGTTGCATACCTAATTTATTTCCATAGGCAGGAACAGTAGTAATTTCGTACATTTACAAATGAAACACACGAATAAATTTAACTGTTCCAGTATTTGCACCTCCTTACACAGAAAAGCAAAAATAATTTCTCATAAGCTTGCCTTAATTACATGGAAGTGAGCTAGCAATTTTTGAATACCATAAATAGGGAAAAAACTTCTTAAAGTAAAAGAACTGTATTTGCTAGTTCTAAGTTAAAACTATTACCTTTCTTAAATCTATTTCGTTTTATCACAATATCACCTACATCATACGACCATCACGACCGGCAATGATGAGAATTGGAATAATTTGAAATAGCGGTGTTGCTATTTTGCGAATTGACTGTGCGTCACATGAAGCGCGGGATTTTCGATCCTTCGGCTTCAAATTTTTTGCAATTTTGAAGTTAATTTTCCGCATGTATAACGTAACATATTTGTGCTATTTACTTAGTTAAGAGGAATTTCTTCTTCTGAATTAATACAAAGTACAAACCTTCACGAACCTAGAACAACAAGCAGTCAGCTAAGCCCCTTTCCACACTGTTAAATCTCTTAATGGTGGGACGCAACTGGCAAGAAGCACAAGGGGATTCTATTTGTTCAAGCATGACCTATCAGTAATGTTGCCAATCTTTTTCTATTCCCTAAAGGTGAAATTTCTGAATTCAGTGTCATGTATAAGATTTCCTTGTACACATTTCGAATATTCCTGGAAAATTACATCTGCAGAATTATTAAATAAAGCTACAGCAAAATAACCAACATGCAGCGTTTTCAAGCATTTCCATAGAGCGTAATAAGAAAACTGAGCCTGACTGGCAAAAATCTGATTTTATATTTGAATTTAGTGTCGAAGTCCAACCTATAAACATCATTCACATCTTTTGTTACAAAAAAGCTGATGACCAGTGTTATTTAAAATTCAAAAATTGGCCATGTTCCATGCAAAAATACGCAAAACGTTCTTACAGTTTTGAAAATTTGAACATGACCTAATTTGATGACTGTTTCTTATGATGTCACATACGTATTGAAAACATTTTAATAAAATAATAAATTTACACATACTTATTACCTTCCATATTTGGTATCATCAGCACTAAAGCTGGCAACCCTTGATCCATGCTGCAGAGCCCAAATGTCAATGCAGTTCATATTAGGAGAATATATGACAAGAAACAGTGCTGTGCGTGCTTGTTCTCTTTTATGAGCATCTTCATGAACTTCCAGCCACCCACATTGAGCATTACGATAACCTAAAACCCCAATATTTTAGAGGTACTCTGGGTTCAAAAAGACGAAGTAAACAAAGTTCCATATTTTCTCAATTATAAGATCCTTTGGGAATAAGATTTTCACAGCAGTATTTGCAAGTGACATCAATTGACTGTATTAATAAGCTGTTACGGAACACCTCTATTTTCTGAATGAAGGGTTGATGGCTTTGAAAAAATACACATTTACTCCCATTGGACAGACCCCAGGATGTTCATTACAAACAATATCTAAAAGAGATTTAAGAAAACTATAATATGGAATGAATAGAGCAAAAGATGAGCCATGAATTGGTGATAACAGCTAAGAAATTTGACAATCTTGATGACATTTGTAACTCCTGGATAAGGATAAGAGATCCCATTTAGAAAGGCAAAAAAATCATTAGGAAAATTTTAGATACGTATCAGCTATTGATACAATATATTGTAACATTTAAGACAGTTTTCAACAACATAAGGTATTTAAAGAACAGTTTGATTCTGAAATACTTGCATTGTTTAACCTTTAAAATACATGTTGCTTCATTCTGGGGGGAAATAGGGGGCCCTTATAATTTAGAAAATATGGTAATACAATACACTTTATTACATATCATTTTAATATAAGTCAAGTAATATAAGAAAAAATTAATGATCTTGTAACTGTAACATGCATTTAAAATCAAAAAAAGAAAGATTCATTGAGTAGATCACGCTTGCTAATTAATTTCTGAGTCAGTGGTTCAACAGCTGATAAAGGCAACAAACAAAGTATTTAATTTTCAGAGTTACTTCAATTAGAATTTAACAGAAATAAATTCCAGACAAACCACAGTACAGTGATGGGATTCAACATGCAAACAACCACACCAGAGCGCATAATATTGAAATTCCTCTTTATATTTTATACATAGTGGATAGAAAAAAGAAAATTTCAATGTTTCAAATGCATTTGAAATAAGTATTTTAATTCTGATGAAACAAATTACGCTTTTGATAAAAACCTGTAATTTAATATACGTTAATTCACATTCCTGAAAGACTAAAAACTAATCAAGGTTTATTTCACACCTCATTTCTTTTTAAAATGAATATTTTTATAATTATACAATTACACTTACTTGATTTGGGTCTCAATTTTTAAGCTATGTATAGTTCGTATGGTCTGCAAGTAACTACCTGTTGCCCATGGATTATATTTTTAATCTTTCCATGGAATCAAATGACCATCTTCACCTTTCATATGATAATTGCCTTTCATAAATTCTAGGGCATACACACACTCAGAACAAAAAGTTTCATATGTCAATGAAAACAATAATTTGAATAAAATAATTTTGTGTGTGCTACATTGATATTTGTAAAATGTGATAATGGTAAACCATTTTACACGCTATAAAGAAAACAGTAAAAGAATGCTTTATTGCAACTAAAAGATATATACACTGTTTTTCAAATTACGGATGGTTTCAAAATGTTTTTACAAACTACATTTAAATTTTGCTTTATACTAAATTGTTCAGAGAAACATACTGTTCAGGTGCAAAAACTTTTCAGGACTTTGTACAAAGCCTTGTAAAATTGCAGCCTCAAAATAATCAGGTTCTATCTGATTTTGAGGAAACTTTGAGGGGAAAAAAAAAAATTTTGCAGGATTTGAGGTGTTTAATATGGGTATGCCTAATGCTACGGTAATTTGTTCATAGGTTTTCTAAAAGTCTGATTTTAAAAACCCAAGACATTTACTGAAATTGTACACCATTTACCACATTGGAAGAACGAGGCCGAGGAATGAAAGTGTTTTTAAAAGAAAATAATATGAGAATATATGTGCATCTTGAGTATCAAAGAGTTAATATAAAACAAAATAATTATTATAATGAAAATGTTTAAGTCAAGCAACAATTTTAAACATTTACTGTCCAACCCACTGATTCAGGGACAGTCTCAGCTACTGTCATTTTAAGGTAAGGAAATATAAAATTTTACTGCATTACAATACCATTAACAGCTAAAGAGTGAGTATATGAGTTTTTATATTAATTACTAATTGTGAAATGAATATGAAAGGCCATACTTGAAACTATGACAAAATTAAAAATAAAATCAAAATTCAATGGGTGACTATGCATTTAAAAATATAAAGTTGTGATAAATGAAAGTGTTTTAAAAGAAAATAATATGAGAATATTTTTAAAATTGTTATTATATTATTGATATACTAAAAACACATGTTCCTGTAGTGCACATTTGTTTCACTACACATTATAAGAGTATAAGAAGTCTTGTTTACTGGGCATTTCAGGCACTACATGTCACAGATACATTTGCAAATGCATTTTTCACATTATAAACAATATAATAACCAAACAATAATTGAATAAACAACATTTGTAAAAACACTTAACAGTAAAAAAAAAATTGATGTGTCTCTTTGGTACAGTACCTTTCCACATACGCAATGCTATTCCTTTTTGATTATCTATTAACAGAACTCTTCCCAAACCATCTGATACAGCAGACAGTGTCTTATTTGGTGACATTACAACACGATCACCAAATCGTAGAGCATCACACAAACCAAACCTAAGCAACAAGGGGAGTTACACGTACAGAACATTTGTGAGTTGTATTAAAAACAAAAGTTCTAAGTGAATGCCACATAATACAGAAACAAATCTATGTTAATCAATCAAAACTGCACTACATTTAAAAACACACCCACAGGTTGATTTTTAAAGCTTATGATTTATAACTCACCATATGGGAACACAGAAACACTTTTCAAGGAACATCCAAACTACATAAAGCAAATTTAAGTAGTAACTTTTCAAGATAAGCTCTTAGCAACACACAAGATTGATAACTTTTAAATTAGGACAACAATTAAGAATACATTTTTCTTTAGGTTAAAAATATCTGTGATCATGACACTAACCTGCATAACATTGGTTCCACGGGTTCTGTTACAACTTTGTCTTTATTTTTGTCACTTCCATTTGTCTTCTTTGCACTACTAAACCACCCACTGTAAAAGTATATTGATAATATTAAAAGTTGTATTAAAATTTCAAGAAATTAATTAATTCAATGTAAACTCACGGGACAGCTTGACCTATGGCAGATTTCAATTTGCTGGCAACAGCCATTGCCATATCTTTAAATGGTGGAGGTGCACCACCTTCCATTGCATAGTGAAAGCCAACAAATGGTTTACGTCCAACGGCAACAACAAGGGACATTTGTGGTGCACCTGATCGGTAATATGCACCAAAGTCCTGACAAAGAGATGTTGTCATAAGATGGTTGAAGGTATTTGATGTAGCAAGGCCAGCCATTTCACAATCGGTAATAACAGCTTGGTCTTGAAAACCCCACTTTTTGTAAATGAGAGGTGGAGCTGGTACTACATCTCCACAATTTGCTTTTGCTGTAAGAAATGTATGCATGTTCCATATATAATTCTCTTAAGTGAAATTATTTCCAGTTCATAGAAGCATGTGTTTTACCTCGAGCAACTTGACTACGGCATGCTCTTAATGTTTGAAACAGTCCAAATCCTCCCAAAACGCATAGTACAGATTTATATATCACATACACTTCTTCTGTTTGTTCTTGTGCAGTAGAGGAGCGAGTCATTTCATAACTTTGACATTTTAAATGTATAACAGGATCAGTGTGAAGAATTTCTTGAGCCAGTAGATTCCCCATCTATGAAACAGACGTGTTAATGTAATACATTACAATAATGAACAGACTACTTAAAACATTGCACACTAGGTTTCACTGGAATCATAAACAAATCTCATACTTCAGTGTAGAAACGAACATATCCAGATGAAAATCCCACAGCTATACATGTCCAGTCCGGTCCACAGTGGAAACTCTTTCCATGAGCAAAAAGGGGGAGACACAGTACTGCTGTAACCACATCACTGTAAAATATTCACAGTTATATATTATGACTACTAATTTTCAACAAGACTTGCTGAAAAGTCAAAAAATATTAACATGATTGTTTATGAAGACATTCAAAGAGTTAGTTATTGATTCTATATAATAAAACAGATTTTTACAGACATTATGATTAAATGGCTGAAAACATTGCTTGTAATTTTATTTTGATTTCTTTATAAGGTTTTACTTATGAATTCACAAAATTTTTTTACTCACTCATTATCATCACCCACTTGTAAATATACTGACGGTTGATATTTCATTTTAACTTCTTCATGAGAATCCCATTTTGCTAAAACAAAATACATTTTTTTTAATTCATCATTTAATTGAATGATATGCAATTATACAGATACTGAGGAAGAAATTTGATACAATAAGCTATTGCTTTCTAATAACAATATCGTTCATTGTTCTGTTTACGTGCACAATTTTGTTAGGTTACCAGGGCAGCAATATTGAAATACAAAATGACAATGCCATAAAAAGAATTTCAGTCTCTACAAGTTCATACCGTGTAACGAAGGCAAATCTATAAAATTAATAGAAAATGTCACTCACATTTTAAAATAACCATATATCTTTTGTGAGCAATGACAAGATGATCTCCCATTGAAGACACACTCAAGGAGCATTCTTGCAACCATTCTCTCCCCACAGGATAGTCCTTTTTATAAAGAAATCTTTTAACTTCTTCAATATCTCCTATTGTGGCAAAAGGACGGAGAAGACAAGACATCGTGTAGTACACGAGACAATTTGTTTATGTTTCTTCATACATACATCTGCATAAGTCTCTCTCACGTCACGCAGCGAGACTTCGTTTCTCGTCCGTGTTTTACACAGCCTCTATGATCATCCAGTATATATAGAATTCCTGTAATTTTATAGGTCATCGTTGTAATTATCAAATAGCCATGGAAAGAGAGGTATTTTCGAAAAGAATGTTCTTAATTAAATCGTAGACACATCATATTAAAATTTATTTCCATGATAATATCTTGTATCATAGGCGTGCGCATAGGACAGAAGCGCAGGGTCAAAATTTTGAAATGTGTCCCTTCGCCCTTTAAAATAAAACATTTTATTTCGTAAATATGTTCAATACCTGATTTTCCCCTTACTTATCCTGACAATTTGGGGAATTGTTTTACGTTTGAACAAGAGGCTCTCCGAGCCATCTGGCAACGTGTAAATGGTTTAACAAAAAACGATTGTGTTTATTCATTGTGTCATTAGTGTTATAATTTCACTCTCCTTGTAGTATGTTGTTGTTTCTTGGCCACGAATATATCCTGTATGTTTTTTGACATCAAAACAAGTGAATTTTTAAAAAAAAGGCAGAAGTTGAATTAATGAAATGTTATCTCCTGAAATAATTACCACTTTGCCCAACCAATTCTGCAATCTCTTTTTTTATTTTAGATTTTTCATGTATTTCACTTAAATAACTGGAGTCGTAAAGATAATATTTATCGCTATACAGATGGATGAAACTTATTTCATTGAAGTTATTGTCTGAGCAATAAGGGGAATTGAAAGTACTAGTCCTCAACAACACATATATGCTTTCTCGTATCATTTCTAAATTTGCAATTTTCGAAAATTCATAGAGTTTACCGAAAATTAGATCTGCGCCATTATTTTAAGTGTTTCTTTTTATGTTCGAGGGAAAAAAAGATCTAAGATATTTTCATTATTAACTTATTTTAAAAAGGCTTTTCCGAGAGCGTAGCAATAAACTTCAGCACTTTTTCTTCGAGCAACAGTGGCAGGAGGCTCCAATTAATTATCAAAATTTGTTGTTGCTTCATGTTGTTGAAAATCACGACAGCCTTGCTCTTTGAAGCTGTTAACACCATGTTAAAGATTGTAAGAAAATAAAAATGGGAGAACGAAAACTAGAATATCACATCACAATAGAGAAGATTAAAAGAACTCGTCTTCGTGGAGAAGAATACATATATGAATTACCGCAATAAGATTGTTAGGCCTAATCCTAACGCAGTTGTTGAATATTGCAGGTAAGTAGTTTTTTTAAGTATATTATAATTTTAATTAAAATTTTCATGATTCTAAAAGTATTTATCTAGTATGGCTTAAACTCAAGCTCATTGCTGGCTTATTAACAACTTCCATAGTCTCCAGATAATCTAAGAAATGCTTCTTCAAGGTAGATGTGTTGCAACAAGGAAATTTTTGGGATATCTTACATTCGTTTAAATCTAAGAATGAGCAGAAATTTATCAACAGTAATTGATTGAGGCCACTCCAGTAAAGAATCACCGAACAAGCAATGCCGGAAATCCTGGTAAAAGACAAAGTTCTAATTCTATGTAATGATTGGTGGTAAAAGACAAGAGGTATACAAAAATGCATTGTTGCAATTATACACTGCCAGAGACAAGGATTAGGAGGTAACAAAACTTATTATAACAAGGACAATCGCCCAGGGATTTAAGAGTCCAACAAAATAATAGCAACCACTGTAAAATTGAAAATGTTAACACCGTATCTTGGAATCCTAGTCCGATTTTGTTTTATGTGAAATCTTTAACATACAATTGCCTCAATCCAGAGCTAATACAAACATTCGAGTGTCCATTGAAAGTAAAGTTAAAACAATGTGCTCTGGAGGTGAGCATACCTAACATGGACTCTACGCATAAAATTATGTAAGTAATGTTTCAATACGGACATAAATTTAACTTAGTTTTAATTAAGTCATTCTGTGGTCAACACGAGCGCCTAAACCGTTCAGCTGATTTTCTTCAAAACTGGTATTCCAATTCCAAAATTGGTCTGAACGAACTGGAGGCTTTGGGAGTTTCAGCTGGATATTGTGATTTATGATTGCTTTACACGAAACCTTAAAAACATTTTAAACATTTTCTCAAAAGTGGCACCAAATGTTTTGATTAAACTTTGGCCTCGGATAGCATAAATGACACTTGAGAGAGGGGTGCAGATCTCATGTTTCGTTGAACTCTCAAATTTTTCAAAAATTGCAAAAGTGTAATTTTTATTCGTCTTCGTGCAATTATAATATTTGGGTTTATGTAGTAAAAAAAAAAAAACAAAAACAAACAAACAAACAAATAAACAAACTTAAGAACTATATGTGGCGTAGGGAATCATCTGCGCACGTATTCTTGAGTTCCAGAATCCCTTCCCATCATTTTAACTATAAATAGTTGAAAGATGAGTAAAAGTTTAACATAAATAAATAAAAATAAAATTTAAATAAGCGCGAGATTAGCAATATTGGAAAAAACAGATATTATCGTTCCCAAGTTATAGAAAGTTTATTGAATTGAATTGGCCTTATTTTACGTGGCGAGACTCGGGCCATCAGGCCCGCTCTTCCGTCTGACCACGCAAATTTCGCTACGCTTTCACCAACTAGCGGAGAAAGGAGGTATTTCTTGGGCGAGAAACAGGCGATTTCAATTTAGCTCGGAGGCGTCATTTAGGCTTGAGGATCTTTTACATTGAAGTAAATCTACGAACATGGGACAGCCGGCTTTATTTCCCCTCCGAAGGTAAGCGTACGAAGGATTTTTTCACCCTTAAAAATTCACGGCTTCAAACGAGTTTGAACCCGCGAACTTGGGTACAAGAGTCCAGTACGCTAACCGTTACACCAACGCCGCCGCTCGGCCGCCGCGCCGCCGCATTGGTAAACGAATTGCAAATATGATTTTTCTGCATTGCTAACAAACTTGTACCTCGCCCTTACCTCTACCCCTACCATTACAAGCAAAAGGAGAGTTCAACAAAACGTGAAGACAACATAGTGATGCTACATTTACATCCAGAAGCAAAACAAGGGCCCATCTCAGCGTTTGCTCAATGGATCAGGGAAGCTGGGCAAAAACCTGATCGAGATGAGGACAAAGTTTTTTCTTAAAGAAATCTGTTCTTTAAAGACAGTTTTTGAATTAAGGTAATGTTCAGTTTTTTGAAAATATGAAGTTTTCGTGTAATTTTGCGCAAAATATAGGCATTTTAATTTTTTAACAGTTTTTTCTCCACAACCGATCCAATTTTTTTCTTTAAATTTTCTCCTGACATGCATTAAGGGACGGTAAAAAATATAGTACTAGTCCCATTTTCGGCGAACTCTGTATGTTCAAAAATTACAAAAGGTTAACATTTCAAAACTACGAAAATGAAGATAGAGATTTTTATCTTAGACGAAGTCTGCCCCAAAATCTGCTCTTTAAAAAGGTTCATGTACAATATTTTTTAAAAAAACAAGTAGTTTCCGCATAATTTGGTCTTAAAATTACAACAGTTTATACATAACAAATTGGATTTTTGTTATTAATTTTTCCAAATGTCATATATGGTAAGAATGTAGTTTTATATTTGATAGAAAATGTGATACAGGCTTCTCAATCCGGATCCATCTCATTGTCAGCCAGTTAACTGATATACTTTTGACACGTTTTTCCTGTGGGTGATACATATTTCTAAATTTTCTGTCGAGTGTAAGTATTCATGGCTAATTTCTGTGAGGAAATACGTGTTTGTTTTCCTGCAGTCATGAATGATAACATACCAATCCCTCAGAGAAAAGATTAGGTTACTAGTTTTTTCTCTTTTTTCAATGAAAGAAAAATTTGAATTATTAGGAAGGTAACTGTGTCTTTGTACAATGACCTTAAAGCCAATCGTTTCAGTGTCACCACACTGATTTTGGAGATATTTCATAAGAGAGAGAACAACTTTAATGTTGCGGTTTTGATCGTTGTATGCGTCAGAGACATGACTTTATATTTGGCATTATTACTATTTCTTGATTGAAATAAGAAAGTAAACATAAGAAATACTACACCCACAAACACTGTAAAGTTGGAAAACACGAAGGAATTCAGTTCAGATCAAATCAGTTTGGTTAAACATTGACTGTCATGGAGTTAAAGAGTAAATCATACTGGCCATCGAAACATCTGATAAACTGTTCGTTTGCCTGAGCAGTAAGCACATTCTAGCGGCAAATCATTTAAATGTGGAGTTGGTCTTAGCCACTGACAAATGGTTACTTGTGAAACACCACCATGTTATTATTCAAATTTTTAAAAATTGAAGTTGGTCAGATTGGCTTCTGAACGCCTCAATTGTAATCCAGGCGACCACCCGCGGTCCAATTTTGAGGGCTACCGTTGAAGGGTTAAGTACACGGGGACGCGAAACCGTTCACCCACGTGTAAGTAGAATCGGGCCCTAGCGGAGATCTTCCCGTTCTTCATCTCCCTCTAATTATGTGAAACTTTTCTTCCGCGTTCACCAAAGTGGATGGGGAAAAGGGTAGCCCAGGTGTCACAGACACTAGAAACAATATCATTATCATATTTTACATATGGCTCAGGAGTTCACTGCCGTTTGGTCGTTTTGCATACTAACTGAAAATGTCAATAAAGATTGAACTGATGCAGAATTTACGAGTTAAATACGAACTATGTGATTTGTGAAAACATGGGTATATTATTTTAATTAGGGTCATTTCACTTGAACATTTTTTCAACTTTTCGCACAATGAAATAGTTCTTTGTGCTCGCCTCGCCAGTCGCTTTCTACAGGCTTGCGGAGATACGTGCGGCCTGTTCTGTTTTGACACATATATTAAAGAGGATGTTTTTGTACTAGTGTCGTGTATTATATCAGTAGGAAGATGGACAGTGTACTGTTTTTGTTAAGTAATCGTTTTTGCTGATTTCAGTGCAGAAGAAAAATGAAATATTGTAGAGCTTGGTACCCCTTTACCTTTACTAAGGTTGCAAAATAAGCATTGTGGGAGAGCTAAGCCAATTTGCGGACCATTTAAATCGCATATTTACCAGAGAAATAGC